CGGACCTCGGTCCCGTCCGCCCCATTTCGACCGGTTTGGCTAATGTCCACAAACCGATGGCTTCACAGCATGTCACTCCGATGGTTTCAACAGGAGGACCAACTCGTTGCTGCATACATGCTCGCCTCCATTCCACTCCACTCATCTGCTCTCCTCTCCCCTCTTCGCTCACTTCTTCTCTTCCCCTCCTCCCGAGTGTGCCCATTAACGCCGGCCCCGGAACTCTCCCCCTCGGACTGGCTGGATTCTCTCGCTCTTTCCGCTTCACTGCACAGGCCCATTTAGTTCGAAAGACAACCTTCCCAACCTCGTGACTCGGGATCTGGCACATTCTGGGACCTTCTGCTAATTCAGGGCCATTAATGGAGATGATCTCTGTCATGCACAACCACCTTTCTCTCTCCCCTTTTGCCATATTCTCCTTCTAACCTCGACGAAGTAGAGACCTACCAATGGAGTCGACCTCATGTCCACGCGTCTTCTTTCGGTCTTGGGTGGGGCGGAGCAGAAATGTGGTCGCGTCGAGAGACACAACATCTTCACTGGCCGACAAACAACCAACAGATGGAAAGGGAGAGAGAGAGAGAGAAAGAGAGAGGGGAGGAATAATGGATGGATGCCTTCGCAGCTTGAAGAGCAATTTGGTCTTTGGCCAAGCTTCGAGTCGGAATGAGGCAAAAGAGGGGATCGGTCGAGACTTACTTGATCAGATGGATCGGGAATGAAGAAGAGGATGAAGCTTGTTGTTTTCGTTTGTATTGTTGTATCAGTGTTTTTGTCTTTTACGCAATAAGCCAAGGGGAGGAGCAGTTAACTCACAACCTGTGCTCCTCTTTGTTTTGGCCAAATCACACTCCTGTCCCAGGGCTCCTTGCCTCTGATCTCTCGCGCCAGCGCAATTCTGATTGGCCAGATTTTCGCTCGGTCACTTCTCCCCTGTCGTGGGAATGGGGTCTGTTAGAATGTGTGGACAAGTCAGCGACTCAGATGAACTTGTGCTCAGCTTTCGTCTGCCATGCGACGAATAAGCATAGTTTACAATCATGGCACAAGCAAGTGAATAGTAGAAGTCAAAAACTGTAGCTTGTATTGGTCTTCAGCAGAAAATATGATATGCGGTTAGGTGATTAAGGTTATTTAAGTAGTATGTGGTGAATATCCCCACGATTTGACTGTCACAAAACTCCGTCTTCCATAGGGTCTTTTCATACAAATGAAAGACTAATGCTTAACACATCTGATAATCAACACCAAGAAGGTGTCGTTGATGTTTTGTGGCACGAGATTGCATTACGAGAAAAGAGTTGGATTGAAGAAATTCGTGAATTGGCCTCTCCCAAAACCGGAAAATTTGATGAAATTGAGGACGATAGTAAAATGTTCACACAATGCTCCCTTTTCCGGTGAAGTCCACTCGGCCACGCTTCTCAACAGGAATTCTCACTCGGGGTGAGCTGAAATGTCGACCACGAGCCGCCT